TTATCATGTGTTTGATTATATTAGGTCTTTAACTTGACCTAATGTTAAAAACATGCAGTCTGTTATCGACTAGGATTAAACAATAATTTTTATTTTATTTTTTCCTAACAACTCATTTTTGACTTAGAGGAAGCAATAAATTAAGACTTAATTTCTAATATTCAATTATTAGTTTATTACTTTGAATATATTGTGCCCTTGTGACAATACCAATATTTAATATATATTTATTATGTGTATGTCATTTCATGTGAAGATATGGATAATTATAAAAATATATTATCGAAATATGAAGACATTGCTTGATTGATTCTTTATGGATAATTATAAAAATATACTATCAAAATATGAAAACATTTGCTTGATTGATTTTGGTGCAACACATACAATATTCAAAAATAAGAAATATTTTTATCGTTTAAGTATGGGCAAAATAATTTTACTATCATTTTTGGTAGTACTAATATGATTGAGGGTTTTGAAAGAGCCATTGTAATTTTGCCTAAGGGATATAAACTCATCATTAATAGTGCTATGTTTTCTCCAATATCTAAGAGAAACTTGTTGAGTTTTAAAGATATCCGTGAAAATGGTTATCATATCCAATCAATGGATGAAATAAATCTTAAATATCTTTGTATTAACAAGAATGTTTCTGGGCAAACATGTGTCATAGAAAAGTTCCCTTCTTTATTTTCTAACTTGTATTGGATAAAAATTACTGCAATTGAGGCACCTATCATAGTAAATAAGAAGTTTAATGATTTCAACACATTTGTACTTTGGCATAATCGTTTGGGACATCCTCGGTCTACAATGATGAGACAAATTATAGAAAATTTGAATGGACATCCATTAAAGGACCTAAAAGTTCTTTTAAATGGTGAATTTTCTTGTACTTCTTGTTATCAAGGCAAGTTCATTGTGACACCATCACCAACGAAAGTTGAGATTGGGTCCTCTGCGTTCTTGGAATGTATACATGGGATATTTGTGGATCTATTCACCCACCTAGTGGGTCATTTAGATACTTTATGGTTCTAGTAGATGCTTCTTCTAGATGGTCTCATGTGTGCCTATTGTCATCTTGTAACTTGGCATTTGCAAAATTATTGTCACAAATAATAAGGTTAAGGGAACACTTGCCTGATAATCGGATTAAGTCCATTCGTCTTGATAATCCTGCAAAGTTCTCATCCCAATCATTTAATGATTATTGTTTAGGGATTGGAATAAAAGTTGAACACTCCATTTCTCATGTTCGTTCTCAAAATGATCTTGCTAAGTCATTAATTAAAAGTATGTAATTAATAGCAAGATCATTACTTATGAAAACTAGGTTTCCCACTTCTGTGTGAGGACATGCAATTTTGCATGCTGCAACACTTATTCGTCTCAGATCGACAAGTTATCACAAAGTTTCTCTATTGCAATTAGTTATCGGTCAAGAACCTAATATATCCCATCTTAGAATTCTTCGATGTGTTGTACATGTGCCTGTGGCACCACCAAATCCCACAAAGATGTGCCCTCAAAGAAGGTTAGGAATATATGTTGGGTTTGAGTCACTTTCCATTATTCGCTATCTTGAACCATTGACTAGAGACATATTTACTGCTCGATTTGCAGATTGTCGTTTTGATTAGACAGTTTTTCCGAAATTAGGGGGAAAAAATAGTGAAATAAAATGAGATATTTTGTGGAAAAATTTATCATTATCTCATCTTAATCCATATTATTCTATTTGTGAGCAAGAAGTACAAAAGATTATTAATATGTAGAAAATTGCAAATCAAATGCCAGACACATTTACAGATTTGAAAAGGATTACTAAAACACATAATCTTGCAGAGAATGTCCTAATTCAAATTGATGTCCCTATAGGATCATCCACTAGTGTCATAGCTAATGAGTCAAAAGCACACTTAAAGCAAGGTAGATCATTAGGTTCTAAGGATCGTAATTCTAGAAAAGAAAGATTAAATGTCAAGATGACACTATGAAAGAATCTCATATGGAAGTTCAAAATTTGAGTACTTGAAACTGAAGGAAATAATAAACTGTCCCTAAATTTAAAAGATGTTAAAAATAATCAGAATCGATCAGAAATAGTGTTTGATCATGTCTTTGCATGTTGCAAAAAATATCCTGCAAGATAATAATGATCTTGAACCTCACTCTGTTGTAGAATGTCGACAAATAAATGATTGGTCAAAATGGCAAGAAGCAATTCAATCAGAGTTGAATTCATTTGCCAAACGTGAAGTTTTGGACCTATAGTTCAAACACCTAATGGTATTAAACTTGTTGGTTGTAAATAGATTTTTGTGCGAAAAAGAAATGAAATAATGAAATACAAAGATATAAAGCATGCCTTATGGCACAAGGATTTTCTTAAAGTCCTGCCGTCAATTATGAAGAGACATACTCACCTATTATGGATGCAATAACATTACGTTATCTCATTAGTTTCACAGTCCATGAGCAACTTGAAATGCATTTGATGGATGTGCTTACAACCTACCTTTATGGATCTCTTGATAATGATATATATATGAAAAATCCTGAAGGAATTGGGATGCCTAAATCATGTAACTCAAAATCTCGAGAAATGTATTCAATTAAATCGCGAAAATCATTATATGGTTTGAAGCAATTTAAACGCATGTGATATAACCGTCTTAGTGAGTATTTAATTAACAAAGGTTATACAAATGATGCAATTTGTCGATATGTCTTTATAAAGAAAATAATATCGGAATTCATTGTACTTGCTATTTATGTTGATGACGTAAATCTATTTGGAACTCCAATAGAGCTTCAGAAGACAAATGATTATCTAAAGAAAGAATTTGAGATGAAAGATTTGGGAAGCACAAAATTATGTCTTGGTTTTCAAATTGAGCATTTAACGAACGATACTTTTGTTCATCAATCTGCCTACACAGAAAAAGTGTTGAAAAGATTTTGTATGGATGAAGCGCATCCATTAAGTACTCTGATAGTTGTTCGTTCACTTGATGTGAATAAGGATCTATTCCGACCTCAATTCTCGATTCTACAATATCATTTCTTAGTGCAATGGTGCACTAATGTATCTTTTTAATACTACAAGGTCTGATATAGTTTTTGTTGTTAATTTTTTAGCAAGGTATAGTTCTGCTCCTACTAGAAGACATTGAAATTGGATCAAACACATTTTGCGATATCTTAAAGGGACAACTGATATGGAGTTATTTATTCTAATAGTTGTATCCCCAATCTTGTTGGTTATGCTGATGCAGGATATTTATCTGATCCACACAAAACTCGATCCCAAATAGGCTATGTGTTTATAAGTGGGTGGGACTGCCATATCTTGAAGATCTACAAAGCACTCCATCGTAGGCACTTCATCTAATCATGTTAAGATTAAATCTATTCACGAAGCAAGTAGAGAAGGTGTATGGATAAGATCCATGATACATCTCATTCGAGAGAAATGTAGTTTGAAGTGTGATAAAATACCCACCACTTTAGATAAAGATAATGCAGCATACATAACACAACTTAAGCGAGGAATCATAAAAGAAGATAGAACAAAACATTTCACCAAAGCTTTTCTATACACATGAACTTCAAAAGAATGGTGATATAAATGTGGAACAGATTCGTTACAGTAACAATGTGACTGATCTATTCACCAAGTCTCTACCAACTGCAACTTTCAAGAAGATGATGCACAAGCTTGGAATGCGAAGATTCAAGTCTCTGGATTGATTAACTTATTAGGGGGAGTTAATATGCGCTGTACTCTTTTTCCCTTACGAGGTTTTGCCCCACTAGGTTTTCCTTGTAAGGTTTTTAATGAGGCAACCTAGATGCATATTAATACATCTGTGTACTCTTTTCCTTTATTAGATTTTTTCTTTTCTTAAAGTTTTTTTAGTAAGGTTTTTGACGAGGCACATCATCTATGAATTAGAAATTTAGGAGGACTGTTATAAAGTTTTTGTACTATAGTGAATGTCTATCATGTGGAATCCTTTCAGCATATGGTTAAGAGCATGTTTGGCTTAGCTTAAAAGCTGGTCAAACTGACTTAAAAGCTGGTTTTTGACTTATTTAGCTGTTTGGCAATACTCAAAATAACTTATTTTAAGTTTAAAAAAAACTTATTTTAAGCCAAAAGTTTAAAGCTAGGGTAGGGGCGCTTTTTTTTTCCAGCTTATAAGTTGTTTTTAGTTGATCATAATTTTACATTTTTGCCCTTAATATTTTTATACAATCTCCAAATTATCCACATAACCTTAACATCTATTTCTTCTATTTTTCCCTTTTCACGTGTGGATGATAGAATATTAATATTACTAATGAATGAAAATAAAATATATTTTAAATCTTTCAAGTGATCTATTCAAATTATATATTAATGAAATGTAAAATAAGTTGCACATATAATTTAAAATTTATATTCCTCTTATAAAATAATTTGTGATAATAAAGAAATATGTGAATGATAGACAATTATTATTACCTATGGATGAAACTAAAATAAAATCTTAAATCGTTCTTTAATCTATTCAAATTATATATCTTTAAAATCTATAATAAGTTTATATTCCTCATATAAATAATTTGTGATGAGAAAGAAATATGTGAATGATAGCAAAATATAATTATTTATGGCTGTAAAATATAAATTAATTAACTTTTATTATGTTAAAAAACTTTTAAGGGCATTTCATACATTTTGATTTAAATAGCTGTTTATCAGCACTTATTTGCCAAACACATGAACAACTTTTTTTTTTAATTTCAGCACTTTTATCCAAACGCATAACTACTTATTTTAAAAATAAATTTCATCACTTTCAAAAGTATTTTTTTAAAGCTGCTTTTATTAAGTCAATCCAAACGGGCCCTAACAGTCATAGTTATGAACTAAGTTAAATTTTCGCTATAAATAGAAAGCTACTCATCATCATAAAATCATCTATCAACAGAAATAATAAGTCTTCCATTCTCTTTTTCTCTAATTTCTTCTTAATATTATACAGTTTCATAATATATTTTGCCCCAATTTACAAAAAGCAAGACTGTGCTAGATCTCTTTATGACAGTTTTTTGCTTTTATTTTGGGTTTCTCATGAAAACATCAAACATGGTCTTAGGCGACCTCCCTTCTTCTCTTCCATTCCGTCGTTTTTCCTCAAACACTTCGGTATCTCTCACGCTACACAAACAAAACTCGTCTTCTCTACCTCCGCCGCCACCGCCGTCTTCTTATGTTCTCCGACTGTCAGCAACTCCATCCGAAGCCCTAGTTCAGAAAATAGGCAAATCTGTTTGCCATTCCCGCGCGCCTTCAAATGCCCAGGTTTTTCAAATATCAATTTGGTCCTACCTAAAGAGTATTGAGATTATGAATCCCTAACTGTTCAATGGAGAGAAGCAATAAAATAAAAACACTTTTTTGTAATCATGACAGCCATTGATGCTTCTACTGGTATTCCTCTTTCACATCCTTTCTCTTTCTGCTGCTCAAACACGTCTTATACTGGAAAGACATTCTTTATTTTCTTTACTTTTTTTTTCTTTTGAGTGTTTGCAGGAAACCGAAAAGATTGCTTGTTTGACAAGATTAATCTTGTTTTTGGAGACCCTTTTTGAAATTGTAGTGAAAAAAGATCATATAAGTAAGTTTTTTTTTGGTTGGTTATGTGTATAGTGATTTCGAAACACAAAGGGTTATCATCTTTTGCATTTGGAACATGTTCAGTTAAGCTTACTTCACTCTCGTGGAAAGTGTTGATTCTTCACAATACTTGAAATTTAGGTGCTTTTTGTCATGAAAATTGTGAGTGTTTGCCGAAAAAAGTAAGTTTTTTTCAAACATGAAAGATAATATTTGAAATTGTTTGGTTGTCCATAGACTATCTGCAAGAATAAGCTCTGCATTGTTTAATCGGGCAGTCCTTTAGGCTATTGTTCATGTTATATCAGAATGGAGATTCATATGTCACTTGCATTATTTTTGTGTGAGAAAAGTAGTTGACTGGTTACTGATTCACATCTTTTTCACAATCAGTTTGTCAAAGGGAGCTTTGGAGTATTTGCTGTGTATCGTGAGGAGTGTGGGATTCCAGATAAGAGAAGTTCTTGGTTGACACTCTTTGATGTGGAAGTTCCCACGACTAATGTTCCATAAAGTAAAGGCAAGTTCTTGGATGCAAATCAGGCTTTAGAAGTTGCTAGAAATGATCTATACTATAATTGGAGAACTAGGCAAGATGTACTTACTCTAATGCTCCTACACGAAAAGGTACTTCTTTGAATTAATATGTGTATTGAACTTGGAAACCTGGTAAAATACAACATTCACTGTCTTTATCTAGGTCTATTGACAAGTTTGTTGCGTTGCTGGTTTCTATTGTACCTTCCTTAGAGTTGTTTAAATTTTCTTGATCTTTATCGTATTCTATGTTATATTCTAATCAGTTATAATACAACATGTACATTCTTCTATGGGTGTTTTCATAGTTATGCTTCCCTTTTCCACTAGTTCATCTCTTACAAAATTTATTATCTAAAGGAACAGAATTGAGGTTGACGACATGCCCAAACAATCTCAAGCGACCTCTCATTTGAAACTCAATGTGTTCTACTTGAAATGCTGGATCTAGAATTGGAGCTTTCACTAATATGACTCCTAGTAACTTCATGTGTATAGGTTGCCTAAGGAACTACATGTCTTCATGTTTGCATTCGGTTCTCTTAGTCTTTGTATAAATTGCCTAAGGAACATCATGTTTTGGACATCATTGTGGATCAGAAGTTCTTCTTGTGTATTTCAATCATTTGTCTCTATCTTTGTCAGTCCCTCCCTTGTGTATCTAATTTCCCTTCACAAGAGATTTGGCGATCTCTGGAATCAGTGCGCCTTAGAAAATATGCAGAGGTGACAACACTACTGTGCATTGATTTTTTTTCGTTATAATCATTATTTCTTTGATAATCTCATCGAAACTTCCTCTTGCAGTGGTATATATCCGAAAAGTGTGAGAATGTTCTTAGTCGACTATCAGAAAAGCATATATGCAAAGTATGCCTTTTTCTATTATTACATTCTCTATTGCTTTATCTTGGACTTTTGCTGGTGTATCTTCTAGCTTTTGTTTAGAATTATTGGAACAATTAGCGTCACTTGTGATTATCTATCAATTCTACAATATTTTTAGTACGTCCAATATTTTTCTTTTTCATCTGTTTCTTCTTCTTTTTCTGTTACCAAGATTGAAATATGATACTCGGTACTAATCTGATACTTTTTTGTTCATTTACTGCAACAGACTATGTTGCTGCTCAGCGGCTTAGGTGATGCATGTATACTGATTATATCCTAAAGGTACTCTCTTAATTCTTTTCAACTTCTTCCTCTTGAAATTTTGCATTCCCAGCTGCTCCAACATGTAGCTTCCTTTCACTGCTGCTGGTAGTTGATTATATGTGTAGAAGTGTTGACTAAAAAGTCTAATATATGACTCAATTTTGAAAGGTAATCAGCAGAATTGGTGTGAGAATTATTTCATGTCTACAATTTTCCAACATAAAGATAAGATCATTCCAGTTGTGTGACCGCTGAATATAAAGGAAACAGTGATGAAAATTTGAACGATATTTTTTGCAGATTAACTTCACTCTCCACTTATTGAATTGTTTGGCACCATATTTTACTGCACATTCATTTTTCCACAGGTTCCAACATATAACGATGGGAAGGGCCTGATTCATGAGCTTGTGAGCCTCATTTTTTATGTTGCATACTACCCCACTACATAAAAAGAATTCTTAGTATTGAGCATATTAAATACACGATTTATTTCACTAACTTGTATTTTTATTTTGAATGTGCAGGAAAATGCCGGTAATTGAATTTGAATAGTGGCTAGAAGTAAACTCGATCCAGTCCAGAGAACAATGAAGAGTTTTTGTACAATTATCATATTTGTTTGTATGCATTTGGTTGTGGAATTTATTGATAGTATAGATCTTTATGAAATTGCTTTCTAAGTATTGGTTGTACAAGACATGTTTGTCGAAGTTTATTTTAAATATATACTTTTGATTTATTTATTAGCTAATTTTGTGGTTTGGGTCACTTATATATATTATAATGTTATAATTCAATATCTTCAAAGAAAAATTATTAATGTTAAAAATGAAAACTTGTGGCTAAAAAAAATTCTAAATAACAGTTCCACACATTAAAAGTATTGTTGTAGGACGTCCAATAAAAGTTACACTTTATAGGTGTTGTTTTATATAAGATATAAAAGGAAACACTTTTTATGTGTGATCAATAACAAAGTAAAGGCAACACTTTTATGTGTAGTATAATATTAAAAAAGTGTTGGTAATGAATCACTAGAAAGCTTACCTTTATGCCTCTTTGGTCACACTTTATTAGTAAGCTGTGATGGCGATATTTAAAAAGTGTTGTAATTATACGTCTTTGGCAAAAGGTTACGCTTCTTTAGGTCACCCCCTAAAAAGTTTTGCGTAAAGTAACGAAGTGTAGCCTTTTATCAAAGGACACACTTTTTGCCAGTTTAGGCTACACTTTACTAGTGTTGTCGTAGGCCTAAAATGGTGTAGTGTTCTCCTAATCCCAACCCAATGGTATACCGAATATGACTACTACAAGGGCTAATGCTAGAAGGAATGAGGAAGACATGGTGGATCAATAAGCTCCTTTATAAGCTCTGTTTTAATTCTTTTTGGAAAACAATTTTTATATATATGGGTTTTAGGACTTGTTTAGAGTCAGCACTTAATTTTTTTAAAAAAATCAAGAAAACTGTTATTTCAATCGATTAAAACATGAAACCGGTTGAAAATGTTTAAAAGGGTTTGGGGATCCTTATTTATATTTTAGGAAGGTAGTTATGACACCTAAAATATTTGCTAACTCGCAATTATCCGACAACTAACTTGTTTGGCTAAATGATCAAACTTAAACATGAAGATAAAATTATCTAAAGAATCGTTTAAAGCATGAAGTATTTGATTTGTTATCTAAGTGAAATTTGCAAAATTTATTTTAAGTTTATCATTTATATTTTTGCTCGATTTAATTAGGCGATAAAAACGAGGTGACGTCTTGCAGGGATTCGAGATTTTAACTCTAAGACTAACGACAATAAATAAATGAATAAAATAAGAGAGAGAGAATCGGTTCCAAATCCGATTTCTGTGCGCGTGGATCGATTTTTTAACCCGCTTTATTTTTGGGGTTTTGACCCATTTCACTCGTACCTGTCCTAAAATTCTTACAAAATAATACAAAGATGACAAGAGATTAGGCCCAAAAATAACAAAATACCATTTTTAGAAAAATAAATTTTGACTCTTAGGCCCAAATTCTTCAATTCCTTGATTTGCATATATTCTTCAACTTCGGGACCTGTACACCTTTTATGATTGGCTTGACTCGACAAAAAGAATTCTGAGCCTTTATGTCTCTCGGAAATGCAACAAAGTGAGCCCGTGGCAAGCTCCGGTGAATTTTACATACAACAACATGCAAAATAAAATGATAAAATTAGGATTCGATAATTACATACTAAACTGCTAACCCAACACAATTAACAAATGTCAAAGTCGATGAATATGTCATAGGAAAATGGATTAGCGACCTTTAGGACAAAGCAAGGTAAATGAAATGATTTAAGACAATTAATAACTAGCATTGACCTAGATAGGCTATTAATTTTTTTTCCTATTTTAAGCCAACAATGAGTTAAAAAAACATCTCATGTTCTCATACCGATAAGCAAAATAATAACAATCTTTGTTGCACAAAAACGAAACCACCTACCTTAACGCATAAATCACCAGTATAATATTTACAATGCAAAGAAAGCTCAACTATTATTCAGATGTGAACAAAGGGAGATGTACCACCTATAATTAATAATGGAATGGGGGAAAATGAATCCGCTTTTAGCACACTTTCTTTATTTTTTTCCTTTTCCTTTATAAAATAAGATGAAAATTACTCTAGCAAAGATTTTGATAAAAACATAAATGATTAAAAAATCAGAGGATCATAACTTCGAGCTGGTCTCAACACAAAGATCGAAAGGACGAATAATTTAGTTAACTTACTAATAGACGCCACAAAGTCAGAAAACTAAATAAATACTTGAGGAATCAAACAACAACATAGTTCAACAAACAGCCAGCCAATTGAGAGACCCAACAACATGTCTTAACAAACAGCCAACAGGGAGACCAAATTGAAAATTTCAGATTGAAGTTAACACGAGAAACTTTAAACGAGACAAACACAATTTATTACCACTAGCATATAAACAATTAATGTAACATGTGAAGGATCCACGGCGGTGAGCAATATGATTAATCCAAAAATTCATTGCCAAAAGAAAAGCTACTGATTAATCCCATGTTTAGAAGGATGAAAACATGGAATCGATGAAACACAACTCTTCAACATGACATTTGAGCAAAATTATACCAAATGTTGACCAATCCATTCTAAACAAGAGCGGAAATACTCATGAATAATTTAGACAATCAGGTACAAACTAACCCAACTTTCATCCATGCGTTTTCTTTAATCAAAAAAGGAAAAAAAAAGACAAGGTAATACCCAAGAAATTTCATAGAAAAAGGTGTATGACTCGATAACTATAATCTAAACAAAACGCTTGAGTGAAAGGAATATTACCGTTTATTGGGCAGAAAACAGAGACGATCTCGAGCAGAATCACGACCTCCAAGATGAGAAACTCGAAACTCCGACTAAAATCGAGAGGGAAGGGTGCGAAACGGAACAAAAACTCAATAAACCAATCAAATGAAATACTCTAGCTTAGACGTCTCACCGTACCTTTAATTATACTCTCTTTATATCCTCTAGTATTTTTCTTTTTTTTAAAAAAACAAAAAAAAACTTCCAACTTCAAAATCTCTAACAATTTTTTTCGTTCAAAATTTTTTCCGCCCCCTTTCCCCAGTGAACAAAGAGGGGATTAAATAGAGGGGGAAATTTGGGTTCTGAATTTGGCGTCCTTTTCGATTGATCTGTCGCGCATCCGCGCGCGCAAGGACAAGCAATGATGGATTTTGCAGGGTTCTTTTGCTGCTCCTCTTGGCAGTCTCGTACAAATGGGAAAAAGGAGGAAAGGGAAGAGATGATGCACGCTTGGGGCCAAATAGCGGCTGGGAATCGCGTGAAAATGGGAGAAGAAGAGCGCGTTGTGCTCTATTTTTCATCTTGGTGTTCTGGAATTCAACAGATGACGCGAATACAGGCTGTCACGTCTGATGTTCACGTAATGGGTTTCTGCATTATTTCTATTGAGACAGAATTTGGGTCGGGTCTAGGAGGAAATGGGTCGGGCCGAGGATCAAAATTGGGCCAGGGCGAATCTGAAAAAGGGGGGGGGGATGTTGTTGAACTTGAATTGGATTTGGACTAACATTTTGATCATTTAAAGTATTTAATATATTTGGTTGAAAAGACAAATTAACAAAAAATTAATTTCGCGACCTTCTAAACTTGACAAAATAAATTAATTAGTTTGAATATTGATTAATGATTTCAACATGATGAAATAAAATATAATTATAATACTACGCTAGAATTTTTTTTAGAACAATACCCACTAGAAAATTAGAACAATTTTGAGACGATTTTTAAAATGCTTAATTATAAAATAGTAGCTATATACAAATTTATACAAAATACGAATATTACTTAAAAATATGAAGAAAATGACTAGAAATGTTTAAAAATGACTCTTCAACAAATATTTAAACTTTATTAATTATTTCAAATCGTCTAACATTTAAGAAACTCAAAAATTAATTCCTATCTGGAAGGGCCAAAATTAGGTGTGAACAGCTGTCCCTCGTTTTACTCGAATTGATGCGAGAAATCCGAGGAAAATGATATTGACCAATCCAATTTTGACCGACCATATATTCATCTTTAGGAGAAGAGTTTTTGTACGAACTTTAGGGATCAAGGCCGGACCCTGAAAATGATTTTACATATCTCAGGCTATATGAGAATTCAGGTCACTTGTAGTCAACACGCTTGATTTAATGCAAGATTTTTGAAAGGGTTCAAAAATCATCTCGATACCAAATAATTAGGGAACCAGAATGCTCGAGAATAAGATTTAAAGGCGAATACTGGAATATAGATGAGTTTTCAACATTGAGCCGGCCTACATACCCTTGTACCTTGGGAATCAGGCTGTTGGTATTTTGACTAGGTCGTTTAAAAAGGAAATCTATTATGCTAGATAACCTTCAGTTCGGGATAAGTTACAAATAAATCGAGCATGAAAAAGCAGGCTTGTAATCCCTTAGTCATGAATGTGGTGCACTACATACACATAATTAATAACTTATACGAACATAATTTCTAAAAATCTTGATGCATCGTCACTCAGATTGAGAACTTGCTTTCGGTAGGTAGAAATTCCAGACGCGAAACTGAAACTAACAAAAGCCAAAGAAAAACCAACATACCTTTTGATAGGGGTGTCGTTTGATTGTGGTGGAAGTCGCTCTCCTGCTCGCGTCCTAAGAGTTTGATACTCCTCTTTGGACTTTGTCCCAGTTCGCTGCTAAGAAAAAGGTCCACATTGTGCCGCATCCTTTTTGATATCGTCCACACTTGTGGTATGTTTTGAATAATTCTCCCTTTCGGATGCTCTCGACAAAGACTGAGATAAACTCATTAGCATAAAAATGCAATTCAAATAGGAGATAGTGTCTTTCACAATGTTGACACTTAGTTTTTCTCCTTCAACATTTGACGTCAACTCTATTGTATTGGACGTAAGCAAATAAAGCTTATGTATTACGTTTTCAATATAATCTTCAATGCAGTCTTCATTTGATGTCGAAATAAATACAAATTAATGCAGTGTGCTAGTATTTTCTTGATGTTCACTCTTGCGAAAAATAAAAAATGTTGTTGATGTTGAGATACATGATTTCCTTCAATAGTTGTAAATGATTTCTCTTCCTCGATCCATGACTTTCAGCGATGGATGAATTTTCTCTTACAATGCATGATTTCTTCTTCGAATGCATGATTTGT